TATTGTAAGAATTCAAGTGGAGGGAGCAATTTTAGTCCAGATTCTGGATTTGACTTTATACTGACCAAATCCCAGAGGGATGCTGCAGGGATAGCTCTGGGACAGGCAGGATTGTCAGACCTCTCGAGGGACTAGAAGCAGGGCTTGGAAAGTGATTGTGAACCACGGCAGCCACAGTACAGTCACTTCTTAGATAGGGATCAGCTTTGAAGTCAGTGTATGACTGACAAGTGATTTTTTGACAAAAATCTGATAGCCAAAATTATCCTTGAAGAATTCCCTGAATTGTTCATAAAATCCAATATATTCAAGTCCCACACTGGAAATGAGCATGTCTTGATTTCCTAAATTTACTACAAGAAAAAAATTTCCCCCCGAGTTGGATCAGATTGCTGATTAGATTGAGGCCTAAATGAACATAGCTGGGCTGTGTTGAAGGGCCATATTGTATATTTTAAAAATACCTATTTTTAAACATTAGACTGGCCATGGAATGGCCTTATTTGAGGAGTAAGAGAATTATATCTCCTATTCCAGGCTCCCAGGTATACACACTCAAGGTGAGAGAAACAGCCAGAAGGGTCTCTTGGACCGTCACACTTGCTCCTCTCGTTTTCATTTCCTTGCCAAGCATGCAGAGTTGAAGCTGCATGAGTTAAACACTCATGTGGTGCATCTCAAGGCTCTGCATGTGTGTTCCAGCTCTTTCCTTCTGGGGCTTGCTTGACCTGTCCAGTCCAGTCCGTTCTTTTCTCTCTGTAGACAGCTTTGGTGGGTACGCAGTCAGGCGACATCCACTGAGACAATGGCAACTTCAGCTCCTCAGCCTGAATTCCAGCCTCCAGGCGTGAGCATGATCGGCTCAGCCTGGCTCAGGCGTCCACTGCCACCCAGCTGTGGCCCTGGCCTACTTTACGGCATAGAGTTGGGCACAGACATGGCTTCTGGGGTCCCTCCATGGGGAGGGGGCAGTTCTTAGAGAAAGGGGTCACCCAGGATGGGAAGACACCCCAAAAAGTGTCAACGGTGGGAGCAAAAAGGAGCAGTCACAGAAATGGAGCTCATAAATGCTTCCTGACCTTCCAGCCATGTGTCAGGCAGTGTTGCCTATTAGGAGTTGGTAACTTTTTTCTGTAAAGGGCCAAAGAGGAAATATTTTAGGTTTTTCTGGCCACATACAGTATCCGGCACACATTATTCTTTGTTTTTGTAACCCTTTGCAAACAAAAATATAAAAAACCAATTTTAGCTCATGAGCCATATAAAACAAGCCATGGGCTGGCTTTGCCTGCAGGTGGTTGTTTGCCATGTTCTAGGGGCTGGGACTATAGCAGTAGATAGAATGTTAGGTCTTCTTGGACCTTATCATTCTAGTAGGGGAGAGAAATGCAATGAACAGGATAAATAAGTAAATTAGATAATACAGTAGAAGATATAAATTTGATTAAAAAGAAAGAAATATTCAGTAGGAAGACCAGGGAAGGTTACATTTCAGCAAAGACTTGTTGGAAGTGAGGAAGTGAACCATGTGGAAACCTGGGGGAAAATCATTCCAGGCAGAGGGACTAGCAAAGGGCCCAAGACGAGATGCTTGGGATGTTCCAAGAAAATCCAGGACAGCAGTGTGGCTGGAGAGGGGTAAGTGAGAGGAGAAAGTAGCAGGAAAGAGGCCAGAGACCGTGGGTGTCTGGGTGACTTGGAGGCCACTGTAAAGACTTTGGCTTTTCTTCTGTCTAAGATGAGGTCATTGGAGGTTTTGAGCGGAGGAATGATCGTTTGATTCATATTTTTAAAAAGGATCCCTCTGGCCCAGCTGGGCGTGGCTCAGAGGATGAGCAGCAGCCTAGGATCCAGGCGATGGAGATTCGATCCCCGGTCAGGGCACATGCCCGGGTTGCGGGCTCGATCCTCAGTGGGGGGCGTGCAGGAGGCAGCGGATCAATGACTCTCATCATTGATGTTTCTCTCTCTCCCTTCCTCTCTCTGAAATCAATAAAGATATATTTAAAAATAAATTAAAAAATAAAATAAAAAGGATCCCTCTAGCTGCAGGGTTGATATTAGACTGGAGGGGGCAGGATGGAAGCAGGGAAGCCAGTTAGGAGGCTATTGAAAAATCCAGATGAGAGATGACAGCCGTTTAAACCAGGGTGGAAATCCATGAACAGGAACCATAATAGGCCACGTCTGTGTGGGTGGAGGTTGAAGAAATGTTGCCTCCAAGATAGAACTAGAGGTCTTGACAGCAGGTGCCCCGGCCCTGCCCATCAGAGCGCCTCTGTCTTTGGCAGCTTCCAGGTCACTTTCCAGCCCTCCCTCTGTATCTCTCCTCCACCCCCCACCGGGGCCTCCCCATGTGGCCTGCAGCTTCTGCTCCCAAGGCAGGTCATGTCATAGCCAGGGGTTGTGGATCGGCTGCTCTTGGATTAATTGTCCATCTCCGGTTAGCTGTGGGGTGGGGAGAGAAGGGTCAGATGGCTCCAATACAGCTGGGACACACCGAAAGCTGTGGGCAGCGTCTCGTGCTTCACAGGGAGGCTGTGGACAGTGCAGGAACTGGAGCGTGGCCTGCCCAGAACTCAGTCCTTCCTTCCTCCTGTCGTTTCACACTGAGCTCCTGCTCTGTGTCAGCAGCCAGAGATACAGCAGCAAATCAGACACGGTCCTTTCCTTGGGGAGCTCATGTCACATGAGTATGCAGGAAAACTGACACAGAAAGAAGCTACTTCCCTCCCCTCGGAGGCTCGCTGTAGCAGAGACCTAAGTCGGCCTGGGGATGGGATGCGGCAGAGACGGTGCTCTGGGAGCTTGCTCTGGACAAGTGACTTACCAGTTTTCTTGGGCCATAGAACTTTCCCCTCCACCCCCACCCCCATCAAAATCTCACCTAAATCACCAGTATGTCTGATTGAAGGATAGTTGCCTTGTGGATGAAACAGAGGGCAGGACTCCAGAGTCTCCCCTCACAAAACCTCCCCCTTCCCACCCATGGGCTCTGGGACAACTTCTTGCCTGCCCAGGGCGCCATGAGGACGCTGGTTCAGGAGAGGGGCTGCCCCAAGGGCAAGGCGGGGGTGCAGAGGGGACTTGGAAGGCTGGAAGGGCCTCCTGGGGCACGCGAGAGGGGCCTTTGCACAATCAGCGGGGCAGTAACTTAAGGAGAGGGCGAGGGCTGGGGGAGACTTAATGTGATTTGGGGGGAGTCTCTCACATCCCCCTTTCCTGGACTCAGGAACCAGGTGTTCCGGCAGGAACTTGGGGCGCGGCCAGATGCCACCAAAGTGCTAATCATCATCACGGACGGGGAAGCCACCGACGCTGGCAACATCGCCGCGGCTGAAGACATCATCCGCTACATCATTGGGGTATGGCCCCGGCCCCGGGCCCCGGGCCTCTGCCTTCTTCCCACGGCTCATCTTCCCCCTCCAGTTTCTGAGTCCTACCCTCCTTTTCCCTTGGCACCACTGTCTCGTGGAAATAGGGAAAATGGTCTGCGATTCTGGGGATGTCAGCGCTGCACTCTTCTCTCCCTCCCAGATCGGAAGGCATTTTCAGACGAAGACAAGCCAGCAGACGCTCCACAAATTTGCCTCAAAACCCGCAAAAGAGTTTGTAAAGATTCTGGACACATTTGAGAAGCTTAAGGATCTGTTCACTGAGCTGCAAAAGAAGATCTATGACATCGAGGGTGAGTGGTAGACCCTGGGGAGAGCGTTCAGGGGCTCGTATACAGTAGCTCACCTGGGACATTAGGGTAGAGACAGGCTGAATAATAGTAATTAGCTCTTACTCAGTATCTGACACTGTGCTAAGAACTCTCCTGAAAAGACCTTGGGTAGGGATTTAGGAGAGGGTGATTTAGGAGCAGCTATTCCCTCTGAAACTCCATCTTCCTCTTGAAGTTCAGCTTAGGCCAGGCTGGGGCCCACGACTGACCTCTCTCTTGCTGGTGGCAGCCGAGCCCTGTAGAATGACTCTAATGCCTTCCCCTCCCTCAGCTCCCTCATTTTCACTTATCGTAGGCCTCAAATTACTTAAGACAGGCGAGTGGGCTGGGGCCAATTGCACGAAGCCCACAGGCCCTCCTCCTTGGTCCAGAATAAGAGAAGATTTTGATTGGCATCACCAGACGGAGGACTGGCCATGGGATGGTATTTCCCCAGGAGGCCTAGTCTGCTGGAAGGTACATGGTTCCCACAGAGAAGGCCCCTTTGCTGGGACACTGCCTTGGTGTTCAGCTCAGCACTTTGGTGGCATCAGGCCTGGCCCCCACATCTTGCTGGAATACCTGGGCCCCGTGTCCAGGGGACTGTGAGCGTTCAAGAAGCAATGTGGTGCATGCAGTGGAGCCAGGCAGACCCATGAAGAACCCGCCCTGCCTGTGCTGTGTGACGTCAGCCAGGCCATTTCCCTGTAGGCGCCTTGCTCTCTGTTAGGTGCCGATAATAACCCCAGTCTCACAGGGTTGTAAAGCTGCATTCGTTTCCTAGGTCTGCTATAACAAAGTGCCAAACGACGGTGGTTAAAGCAATAGAAATTTATTGTCTCGTAGTTCTAGAGGCTAGGAGTGAGAAATCAAGGGGTCAGCAGGGCCATGCTCTTTCCGACAGTTCTGGAAGAGAATTCTTCCTTGCCACTTCTGGCTCCTGGTGTTTGCTAGCAGCCCTGGCATTTCCTGACTTGTACTGCATCCATCCAGTCACATGGCTGTCCTCACGCTGTCGTCTCTCTGTGCACATCTGCCTCTGTGTCCAAATTTCCCATTTTACAAGGACATCAGTCATATTGGATTGGGGCCCACCCTAGTGACCTCATTTTAGCTTGATTACCTCTTAATTACAGAATAAGGCCACATTCTGAAGTGCGGGGGATTAGAACTTCCACATACCTTTTTAGGGAACACAGTTCAACTCCTAACAACTGCTTAGCGAATTGCTTAGTACCGTGTAGGTGCTCACTAAACTGTAGCTCATATCATCCGTAGCCCTTCCGCCCTCTCCTGCCCTGCCCTTCCTCATCTTTCAGGTCTTGGTTTAGATGCCACTTCTGATAAGTTCTCTATGATCCCCAAGTCTGGGGCAGGGGTTTCTTCTGTGACTGTCGTATGTCCCCCATCACAGCCCCTGCGACACAGACTGCACTCCGATTGCTTACTCAGTGTCTGCTTCCCACACTAAACTGTGAAGCCCGTCATAGCAGCATCGTGTCTGCTTTCGCACCACTGTAGCCCCGGCTCAGCAGTGCAAAGCAGTGAATGCACAAATATTCATAATCATTACTGTTTCTGGCACTTTATCCATATTATTTCATTCATTCCTCTCAGTGTCCCTACTAGGCTGGTGGTATTATTTCCACTTGCATTCGTGCCTGCGACATCCATGTACCAGGCTCTGAGGATCCGACGCTCAGGGTGCTGCCGAAGCAGCGTTCATATCCAAGTTGGACAAAGTGCTGTAAAGAAAACCACTAAAGGGACAAGGCAGATCCAACCGCTTGAATAGGATTTTCAAGGACGATGCCTTTTTTTAGTTGAGATAAAACTCACTCTGGCTCGCCTTTTGAGCTGAGACCTGAAAGACGAGACTCAAAGAGCCATGTGAAGAGCGCGGGCAAAGAGCGTTGCAGTCAAAGGGAAGAGTGAGTGTTAGGCCCAGAGACCAGAGACCGGGAGGGCTCGGCACGTTGAGGAACAGGCAGGAAGGTCGGCGGAGGGAGCGTGGCGAGCAGGGGAAGGCTGCAGACGAGGCAGGACATTCAAGGCCCTAGGAGGACTTTGAATTTTGGTCTAAAGAGCAATGGGAAGTAATGAAGGGTTTTTAAGAGAGAGAAAGATGTGGTTTGTCACGTTTTTTAAAAGATTACTCTGGCTTGCCCCATGGAGAAAAAGCACAGAAAGAGGAAAATGGAGTCGGAAACCTAAGTTGCTGCATTTCTCAGGGAAGAGATGAGACTGGCTTGCACTGGCGTGGTGGCAACACAGACTGTTCAGATGCCTTTTGGAGGTAGAACCAACATGATTTAGTGATATGTTGGAGATGGAACAGGGGGCCAGGGGAGAATCAAGGTTTCCTCCTGGGTTTTTAGCATGATTCACGAGGTGGGTGGAGGTGCCATCTGTTGAAGTGGGGAAGTCTGAGTAGGAACAGAAATCGAGCGCTGCATCTTAGACAAGCTGATTGCACTAACTGGGCTCGTGGAGTGTCACTGAGGCTCGGAGCGTAAGCACTTCCCAGTTTGTCTGATTCAAAAGTTCATGTTCTTTCTGCCTTGCAAATGCTGTGCTTCTCTCTCAGTCCTTTCATGAATATCACTGTATTTACTGCTCTCCTCTCCCTGTCCCTTAGGCACAAGCAAACAGGACCTGACATCCTTCGACATGGAGCTGTCCTCCAGTGGAATCAGCGCTGACCTCAGCGGGGTGAGCGGTGGGACTGAGCAATAGGCCAAGGGAGCTTGTGGGGATGCAGCTGACTCTGCTCTGACCCTGCTGTCTCCTTCCCTGGGCAGGACCATGGTGTCGTGGGGGCAGTTGGAGCCAAGGACTGGGCTGGTGGCTTTCTAGACCTGACAGCAGACCTGCAGGATGATACATTTGTTGGGAATAAGCCACTGACACCAGAAGCGAGAGCAGGATATCTGGGTGAGTGCCTCTCTTCTACACTGGGTTCTTTTGGTTTTAAGGACCAGAGAGTCGCTCTGACTGACTTTCAAAAAGATAAATGAAAGCAATTAAGCAGCCAGCATGAACAAACTCAGAGTCTAAATATGGTTATAACATTCTTAACTTTCCCTTAATAACCCCTCACCTGGGTATTAATCATGATTTTACTTTCCATATTTTATGAGGCCTTGATATCTTGAGGCTTTGCTAATCTGGGAGAGACTGCCCCTCCCAGGGCCAGCTCGTTCCCACGGCGAGCAGACAACACGCCTGTGTGCAGGCCCTCCACACGCCAGCCAGCAAATCCAGAGGGACCCAGAGCTGTAGCCCAACTGCCTTCTTTATCTAACTTTCATAAACCAAGTGAATATGCCCCCTGACCTAAACCACCCCAGGGCCAGGTACTAGACTCCTAAAGATAACCTCTGTAGCCCAGGGCCTGCCAACGTTATTCAGACTGTCCAATCCTAACCTTGCTCAAGCTTGCCTGCCCTGCCTCACTCATTTCTCCCCTCAGAAACCACAATAAAAGCTCGAGGCCATGCTCGCTCTCCCTCCTCCTGCCTCCTTACTGGCCCTGGTGCTTCCCCTTGTGGCCCTGCATGGCCGGCCTGCCTCCTGCTTTGGGGAGCTATGAGTAAAAAACTTCTTCCATGACAGTGACCTCTTTGTGTTGTCACTTAGTTGTCTCTAAATTAAATCCCAGGTACGCTGTAAAACAGCCTGCCTCACTATAGGAGGACCAGTAGCATCATTGAGGCTTCCTCCTGTTGAATTGTCCAGGAACCCCAGGGTTGATTCAGTCTCCAGGGTTCTTCAGATGCCAAGCACAAAGACAATGAGTGTGGTCCATCCACTATTGCTGTTGTGCGCCTCTGCCTCCCGGTGCCACTGTTGCAGTCTCGTCCTGCCCAGGTGATGGCAGTCTCAGGCTGCCAAGGGACCTCACCCTTCCACTCGGAGGTTATAGCTCTTTCAGTTCACGGTCATGTAGTCAGCCTATCCCAAGAGCCCTGGGACAGGACTGCTTCTAAGTTCTACCGTCTCGTTGATCTAGAACTGCCTGGCGTCATCCAGCACCTCTGTCTAGATGTGGGCCACTGCTTTATTAAACAATCAAAACACTAAGATCTTATTAAATCCATTCCTCGGGAAAACTGGTGCTGTTCATCTGGCATCTACCCTTCTAAGGGAGGCTACCCTCAGTGACTTGTCTCTCTTTTCTTTTTCTGACATTTTTTTTTATTTAATTATCTTTTTTTAAAAAAATATGTCTTTATTGATTTCAGAGAGAGGAAGGGAGAGGGGGAAAGAGAGAGAGAAACATCAATGATGAGTCATTGATCAGCTGCCTCCTACACGCCCCCCACCCGGGATAGTGTCCAAAACCCCAGGCATGTGCCCTGACCAGGAATCAAACTGTGATCTCCTGGATCCTAGGTCGATGCTTAGCTGCTAAGCCACTCCCTGTCAGGCCTTATTTTTAATTTTTTAAATTTTATTTTATTTTACTCTCACCCAAGGATATTTTTTCCATTGGTTTTCAGAGAGAGTGGAAGAGAGAGAGAGAGAGAGAGAAACATCGATATGAGAGAGACACACCGATTGGTTGCCTCCTGCAGGTGCCCTGACTGTGGCCAGGGATCGAGTCTGCAACCGAGGTACGTGCCCTTGACCGGAATTGAACTTGGGACCTTTTAGTCCGCAGGCCAACGCTCTAACCACTGAGCTCAACCGGCCAGGGCTCTTCCTGACGTTCTTTACTGAGCAAGGCACTGCTCTGAGCGCATGATATGTATTAACGTATTTTATCTTCACAACAACCCTGTAAGCAGGGGTTTTGGTTATCTCTGGTTTACAGCTGGGTAAACTGGAGAGGGTGACAGCGCTGGTAGGCGGCGCCCAGGCAGGCTAGCCCAGGTACACTGGCACACGCAGTGCCTACGCCACTGCTTTCAAGGTGGCTTTTCGCCCTTCAACATCCTCTAAAATAGCTGGCAATGCTACTCACTAAAGAAGAAATAGCTCCAAACCTTAATCTCTAGTTAGGCTCCCATCCCACCACACACACACACATGCATATGAATAAATAGTGAATCAATATAAACTTGAGTGCCTATTATGCTACTATCCTTCAGATCTTAGTTTAGATATCACCAGCCTAGTGCTAAGCATTTTATATCCATGGTCTTATTGACTCCTCAGAACCACCCTATAAGGTTGGTACTATCCCTATTTTTTTTAATCCTAACCCAAAGATAAGTTTTTGTTGATTTTTAGAGAGGAAGGGAGAGGGGGAGAGAGAGAGAGAAACATCGATCTGTTGCCTCCCATATTCGCCCCCTGACTAGGGATGGAACCCTCAACCTAGGTATGTGCCCTGATGGGGAATCAAACCCACAACCTTTTGGTGCAGGGGACGACATTCCAACCAAATGAGCCCCCCAGCCAGGGCTATCCCCATTTATTTAGATGGCAAAACTGAGGCTCAGCAGCTAGGACGTAGCCACACTAGGATTGAAACCTTGTCTCTGGCTCAGAGGGCAAGTTCTCAACCTTTGCGCCTCAGTAATCCACACGAGTGAAGGGGAGAGGGAGTGGGCCGCGTCGCCCTTCCTGTCCCGGGCGACAGGGTCGCAGACATCTCTGCTCTTCTCACTCACTTGCAGCTGCTCTAAGCAGAGAAGATCAAATTGGGCCAGTTCCTCGTTTTCTGAATCAGTGTGTTCCTATGGGGGGCTCCTGGCTCTGGCCTCCCCCTGATTGCTTCCTGCAGCGTTTGCTCAGACGTCTCATCAGTGCTGTGAGGAAGGGGCCCGCACCTTCCCGGGTGTATGAAGCATGAAGATAGCCTGCAGCCCTGTCTTTAAGCAGGACATTTTCTCAAGTCTCCTGCTTTATCTTTAATATTTGTATAAACTTTGCGTCCTTCTTATTAATGTATCCCATTTTTATTTTATTATGTATTTAAAAACCTATTCTCACCCTGGCCGGTTTGCCTCAGTGGTTAGAGCTTTGGCCCAAGGACTGAAGGGTCCCAGGTTTGATTCCGGCCAAGGGCAGGTGCCTCAGTTGCAGGCTCAATCCCCGCCCCGGTTGGCACGAGAGTGGGATGCAGCCAATTGATGTTTCTCTCTCACATCGATGTTTCTCTCTCTCTCTCTCTCCCCCCTTCTTCCACTCTAAAACAGCAATGGAAAAAATATCCTTGGATAAAGATTAAAAAAACAACAACAAAAACCCATAGCCTCCTTCCCACCCCCCAGGTGAACTGAGCCACAGGAAGATGCCACAATTGTGCTGGGGCTGCTCTCCTTGGGGGGGCGTTGCTCACAGTCTGAGAAACGCAGCCTCGGACCAGGATGGCGGGATCTGTACCGCTCGGAGCACAGGCTCCTTTTCTCAGGAGAAGGTCTTCGGATGTTTCAATGCATCTTTGCTACTAACCAGTGTCCCAGGGTCCCTACCCCCTTTCTCCTGGGTTTTACCTTCTTCCAGCGGTCATTGCATTGCCAACTCCAAGTCCCATTCTTTCTCCTCAGGCTACACAGTGACCTGGCTGCCCTCCCGAGGTCTTACATCGCTGCTGGCAGCTGGAGCCCCCCGATACCAGCATGTGGGGCAGGTGCTGTTGTTCCAAGAGTCAAGGGACAAAAGACAATGGAGCCAGATCCAGAAAATAGAGGGGATCCAGGTGAGCATGGCTTACGGGCACTGCAGGTCAGGGACTGGTGTGACACTAGTTACCTCCCTGCTGCCTTCTGCACACTTGCCCACCTGCTGTGCCCACCCTGTGCCAAGCACTGTCACATTCGTTCCTCACGAAGCCCTCTGAGGTAAGCTTTGTCATCTCTACCTGCCAGTTAAAAAACTGAGCCTCAAGGAACCCAACTTGTCTTAGCTCATCCAGCCTCTGAGTGGGATCCAGACTCAAACTTTCATTTGAGACATTGGATGCAGCTGAGGCAGGAGGTGTATCCTGCTCACGGGCTCCTCCTCAAGCATCTTCCTCTCCCTGCAGATTGGCTCTTATTTCGGTGGTGAGCTGTGTGGCATTGACATGAACCAAGATGGGGAGACAGAGCTGTTGCTGATTGGTGCCCCAATGTTCTATGGAGAGCAGAGAGGAGGCCGGGTGTTTATCTACCAGAAAAAACAGGTGGGAACCGGGACACTGAGCTGAGGGGGTGGAAGAAACAGATTCCCAGGCCTGTCCAGGTCCCAGTTATTTTGAAAGGCTTTCCACCTAATGGAGTGAATCAGCCCTTTAGAACAACAGACAGATGGCAGCTTGTGCGCCAGGCCCAGTGCCAAGCCTTTTGCATGTGAGCCCTTGTTTAACCTTCACCATCACCTCTCGAGGTGCTGCGAGGTTTATCATGAATGGAAACTGCGGCTTAGCAAGGCTGGGAACTCCCAAAGCCCCAGAATCACGCAGATAGCAAGAGTGGAGCTGGGACTTGAACCCAGGTTAGTCTGATAGCATCATTCCAGTTCTGTGAGGGACCACATCCACCATCTCTTTCATGTTCTTGACACATGGAAGGCCTCACTCTGTGAAAGCTTGGGTGATTGAGATGGGACCTGTCGCCCTGCTCCTTCCCAGCTGGGGTTCGAAGCGGTCTCAGAACTGCAGGGGGATCCAGGCTACCCCCTTGGGCGATTTGGAGCCGCCATCACTGCCCTGGCAGACCTCAACGGCGATAGGCTGATGGATGTGGCTGTGGGAGCCCCTCTGGAGGAGCGGGGTGCTGTGTACATCTTCAATGGGCAGCCTGGTGGGCTGAGCCCCCAGCCAAGTCAGGTGAGGTACCTTGCCCGCCAGTTACAACCCGTTCCCAGGGGCCTGGAAGCCTGGAAGCCTGGAAGCCTGGAAGCCCAGACCCCACTCCCCAACCTGGCCCGCCCCACCCTCCAGCCAGTGCTCTTCCTAGCTTAGCATGAATTTCTTTCTTGGTCTTAGCGGATAGAAGGGACCCAGATGTTCCCAGGAATCCGATGGTTTGGACGCTCCATCCACGGGGTGAAGGACCTTGGAGGGGACGGCCTAACAGATGTGGCTGTGGGGGCTGAGGGTCAGGTGATCGTGCTGAGGTAAGACGGGACTCCTGATCCCACCTAACAGTAATTTCAGCTCTCATCCTTGGAACAGTTGCTGTGTACAGGGAGTGTGCTACGGGCGTTAGCTCATTTGGTCTTCTCCCCAACCCTGTGAGATAGGTTCTCTTTTTATACAGGCTTCATGCCTTACCCCAGGTTAAACAGCTGCTATTCGGTGACAGACTAGGGTCTGACCCAGGCCTATCTGACACTGAAGCCTAGAGAAGCAACATCATGTGAAGGCTTTAGAACCTAGTGACCTGGACTCAAGCCGAAGCTCTGCCACTCACTTCTCGGATGCTCTTACCCCAGCTACTTAGCTTCTCAGGACCTCAGTTCCCTCATCTTTGAAATGATGATTAGATCTCCTGCCTTACCCATATCTTAGAGTTATTGGAGGTGTCATGTAACATCACAGAGTGAATAGCTATTTACTGAGCACCTACTATGTCTTAAATACTGAATACAGATGTAATTGCAATTGTAAGTGCTGTGAGGAAAATGAACAGGGTACTGAGAGAGAGAATAGCAGGGGAGACCTACTATAGATTGAGTGGCCAAAAACGGGTCCCGCTGGGCTCTGGGGGATGGAGCTCTAGGGCTGACTGGGCACCGCCTTGAGATTTGAGAGGTGAGATTTGAGCTGGGACTTGAAAGATGAGAAAGAGGGAGGTTTGCAGAAGTCTGGGGTCAGAGCTTTCCAGGTAGGAAGCCCAGGATGTGCCAAGGCGGTGAGGCCAGCAAAAGTTTGGCGTGGCTGGGACACGGTCAGCCAAGGGAGAGTGTGTTAGGAGATCAGACTGGAGAGGAGGGCAGTGTGGGGTGGAGAGTGAAAAGTTTGGATTTTATTGGGAGTATCACGTGGCATCAGCGGAGGGTTATAAGCATGAAAGTAGCTCAGTATGATTTCTCTCTCTCTTTTTAAAAAAAATATGTTTTTTATTGATTTCCGAGAGAGAGAGAGAAATATCAGTGATGAGAGAGGCATTCATTGGCTGCCTCCCGCTCGCCCCACTGGAGATCGCGCCCATGACTCGGGCCTGTGCCCTGACCGGGAGCTGAACCGTGACCACCTGGGTCATGGGTGGTTGCTCAACCTCTGAGCCACACTGCCCGGGCTGATTTCTCTTTTTAAAAGCTCACTCTTCCTTATGGAAAATGGGCCAGCAGGCTGCTAGACTGAACCAGGCGCCCTACTGAGTCGTCATTATTATTATCATCATTGCGAGGAGACACTGATGCTTTTGGGGGGGGTCCCGCTGGGCTCTGGGGGATGGAGCTCTAGGGCTGCCTGGGGCCAAGGGAGAGAGCGGGCTGTTCTGTCCCGCAGCTCGCGGCCCGTGGTGGACGTCCTCACCCTGATAACCTTCCACCCGGCCGAGATCCCGGTACATGAAGTCGAGTGCTCCCATTCAGCCAGCGACAAGAGGAAGGAAGGCGTCAACGTCACCGTGTGTTTCCAGGTCAAGTCTCTCACCCCCCAGTTCCAAGGTCAGTGGCATCTTCCTGCTCCCCAGAGCACCTGCCACCCCCCCCA